GATGACAAAACAACAAATTTTCATCTAAATGTTTTCTAAAAATTCAGATAAAAAAGTTCAAAATTAAGATAAAAATGTGTTGAATTTTTCAAAGTTTTGTACAAAGTTATGGTTTGCAGAGGATATGAGAATCTAAACTCTTTCGAGTTTAAAAAATATTTCAGGCTACATTTTATTTCGTGTAGTAGATGAGATATTAAAACATCGGTAAAACATCGATGTATCGTTTTTATAACCGATGTTTTTTAACATCGATGTTTTTAAGAGCAATGTTGCACCCCTGGTTGCAATTAGTTTCTAACCTGGCTCCAAAGCGAATTTAGCGACAAATGCGACTAATACAGGCAGTTGCAGCTGCCAGCAATAACCTTCTTCGGCTTCATCATCAACACATTACGTTACGAGTATTTCTTCGCTGTTCCGTTCATTTGCTTTAAATGTTTTATAGCCTGATTTGTTGAAGACAACAGTAATACCTAGCTATAGCAAAAGCAACAGCAATGGCAAAAGTGCGACAACAACAAACATTGATAAATATTGTGCTGCATCATTTGACGTGCCAATGCTAGCAGCATTTGCTGTCAGCCGCAAAGGTATGCTTTGAAGTCTTTATTGGGCCATTAACTGGGCCAAAATCAGATGTGCGATATACCACGAGTAAGGCGATAAGCTACACAGCGCACGTCATGGCTGTGTGAATGTGTGCGATCAGTCAGTTGGTGAGTGGGTGTTGGCGCTGGAGCAATACCAAGTGACATTACAGATGTGCCGCTTAGATGTGAGCGCCATGCAAACAAAGAAATGTCATGTCAAATGTGTGTTGTATGACAATAATTCAATGAGGAGTGCGCCAAGCTAAAGGGCCCATAATTTTTATTATTTATTTTTCTTCTTTTTTTTGTTTCTCATTTTTACTGGCGTCTTTTGTCATTGCGTCATGTGCTCCTTAATCCATTTTCCATGCACCCGCCTGGCAGTCATTGATTATGAAATTCGTATTCAAATCTCATCTATTCCACGTGTCTGTGTGTCGTCGCATACGGCTAGCTTGCTGCTTGGTTGTTTGGCTGCCTAGGCGACTAGGCCACTTGGTAGGTTGGCTGGTAGTTTGTTTGTTGGCATGTTGCTGACTTGACTGGCTGGCCGCCTGCTGTGCGCTGCCCAGTCACACACAGTCAATGCGGCATTTTGGGGCAAGCGGGTAATAGCGCAAAAAATTTTCTGGTTTACGACCAAATTCACAAACAAATGAAAAATCGTAAAGAATCAAACAAAACTGCATTAAAGTTAAAATAAGTATGCAAAGCGTTCACATGCGACAGCGGCGGTTGGCAGCCGGCCGTACACGCCCAGCTATATTACGACTGGCACGGCTGGTCTTCCTGTGACGGAGCCAGAACGCACTTGGGGCAAGCAAACATGGTTATGTACATAGGCGAGGAGAAAAAATATTTGCGAAGGGTTAATAAGATTAAGATTTTGGCTTGTAATGCCACTTCGGTCGGCCGCTGTGGTGTAGTGGTAAGCAGTGCGCGCTTCCACTCCGCAGCACCTGGGTTCAAACCCTGGTCAAAGCAACATCGCAAAAATAAAGAAAAAAGGTTTTTTTCTTAACAGCGGTCGTCCCTCGGCAGGCAATGGCAAACCTCCGAGTGTATTTCTGCCATGAAAAACAGCTTCTCATAAAAATACAATCGCCGTTCGGAGTCGGCGTAGAACTGTAGGTCCCTCCTCTTTGTGTGACAACATCAAGGCGCACGCCACAAATCGGAGGAGAAGCTCGTCCAAACACTAACATATGTGTAAGCGCCAATCTATTATTATTATTATTAATGCCACTTCGAGGAGCAGAGAGATTTTGTCCCGCTGGCTTCGTATTTACTTCACCGACTTAAAAAAAAGGTATTTTCAGCATCGATAATGAAAAGCTTTTTTATAGATGAGTTCCCAACACTTTGAGGTTCCATTTCCCACATTCATTGAAGATGTGCGAAAGTACGTTTTAGTTCCGGTAGTTCCTTAGTCGCCTAAAAACTACCATTTTCAAACAGCCCCTAACGATATCGATATATAACCTGTAGTTAGTGTTAATCAGACATTGACTTACCGGCCCTTAGTAGGTTACAACCAGTGTTGCCAAAGATGGAGTTTTCCGCCCAAGATTGGTCGGATCAATTCAGTTTGGTCGAAGGGCTGAGCAAACCGAACGAAATGTATTGTATGTGCATAAATTTCATTCGGGTTGCTAAGTCCTTCGACCAAAATGGATTGATCCGACCAATTTTGGGCGGAAAACCCCATCTTTCGCAACACTGGTTGTATCCTACTAAGGGCCGGTTACTCAATGTCTGATTAGCACTAACTACAGTTTAAACATCGTTATCGTTAGTTTACTTTTTATGCCCAGAGTGCGCTTTTCATTTCGTATGTTTACATCCAACAAGCTTTATTGACTGGCTTTATATTTTCATGCTCTTATTTTGTCTGCCGATAAAAACTAGCTACCGCCCAATAGAGGTTAGTGTTTGACTTGGTTATGAGGAGAGATCTTAGTGTCCATTGATAAGAGGTTCGCGTCCCCGCAACAGAGATTTTAGTGCCAATTTTATAAAAATTACTGTCCGCGTCTGGCCAAGAGAGGCAAATTTGTTTCGAAAAATATACCTTAAGCTTGGGATAGGAGACAAATTCAAGAGAGAGAGGCTAATTTGTTTCGAAAATTATACCTCAAGCTTGGGATAGGAGACAAATTCCGCCCAAGGGAAATTCAAAGCAAGACAGAAAAGAGAAAATTAAAGCCAAGAAAGAGAGAAAACAAACAAATAACACACAAAGTGCATGAAAGTAGAAGTTTTGAACGCACCACCACACAAATTAACTAGCACCAGCTTTAGCAAATTTACAAACGGGCATTTTTACAGTTAATGTAAGGACAATAAAATGCTGTGAATTTATATAAAAGAGAAAGAATTTTAGTTTCTGAAATATTTTGTTAATTTTTAGATTTATTAAGAAACCCTTTTTTTCTTCATTAGGGCGGTTGTCATCGGTTTTGGTCGCAACTTTGGGTGGAAAACAATTTTCTAGTGGTTAGAACATAAAGGCACACCACATATTGGAGGAGAAGTTCAGTCAAACACTTAACAAAAATATGAGCGCCTGATAATATATTTTTTAATCAAAAAGGTCCAAGATACGTCCAGCTCCCCTAATGAATGCAGCTCTACTTAAGCGATGTTCGTTTTTCCTTGCGAAAATGTAACCATCCAGTCTAAGGCTCCTTCATTAAAAGCCTCAAAGAAGACCAACTTAGATGACAACACCGCCCGGACAGATACCCTCGATACCGTAATGACTAGCCTGGTGCTCAACAGTATTATCGCGTTTTTCAATGCGAAGGGTGGAAAAGAGCTCAAACAGACCTTTACGGGTGACTTGTTTAAAATATGTCCATTCAAATAAATATGTATTTCCAATTTGTCTTGTATGACCGTTATAATAACACCGGTTCATTTATCAACAAGGTGCCGACACTTTTCAAGCTGTAGATGTATATATGTATGTATATACATATGTTAAACGTGGATATGTATTGTCAATATATTTTGAAAGAGCAATAACGTAAATGGATTTTATTTCGCTTTTGAAAACGTAATATTGGCCATCACGATGAGAAATAGTGTCAATTGCCATAGTTAAAGGTTATAATGCTATTTACTCCTGCTTGGGTCGATGCTTAACTGTCCGAGCAAATACATACATAAATATTAAATTGCATTTCAATAATTTGTTAAGTTTTATTCTAGCGCATTGGGAGATTACTTATACCTTGGATGACGTTTACTCAGATATTCACAAATGGCGAATAAAATAAATGTCACACTTCGAAAACCTTCCTTTTGAGGCCCCCAAAACCTCCAGCCAACCCGTCTTTGGTGATACACATGCACACGTGATAACACAGCCCAGTTGTATGCGGTGGCGCTTTGCCGGCTGGGCCAAACATCTGGGAGGCAGACAGACGCGCCTAGGTAAGTACTTAAGCAGTGGAGGGAGACAGCCAACACCAACTGCGAAGCTGAGGTTGTGCGGCACATGAACTTTGGCAGAAACTTGTTGCCTGTCTGGCTTACTGCTGCAATGGCTAATGCCCCATAATAGCTACAAGAGCCCTGGGCTCAATGCACGCTTGAGCAGGAATGTGTGTATGTGTGTTTGATTTTGGTTTGTATAGTATGCGTTTGCTGATCAATGAGTTGATGGTTATTTGCTTGCTGCTCCACGTCTTGTTGCGGTCGCGTCGCAAGACCAGCAGCCAACGAGCAACTGCCAGGCGGACAGTCAGCGCGGCGCTGGCATTTTGCAATGCATTGCGTACAAAAGTTTCAAAAAGTTTGCAATGTTCAGTTGCAGCTGCACGCTGAATGCAAAAGCGATGACTCACCCACAAGCTATCCGGGCTGAAGCTAAATATGTGACTAGCTGGCAGCGGAAAGCCAGTTGACTGAAACGGCTGGCCGCCTGCATCGCGACAGTTTGTCATGTCTTCATGGGAGTTTTATGTATGTATGGGAAGGTGGCAGCAGTGGCAGCAAATAATATATGATGCCAACAAGCGTAATAAAAGCTCCAACAACACCAACATCAAGGAAACAACAATAATAATAT